CTCCAGAGATTTTTTTTTTTTTTAACTTAAAGGGGACCTGTACGGTACACCCCCCTCCCCTGGGAGAAAGGGAGCCCAATCCCTAGCTACCCTCCCCCCCTCTCCCCCAAACACACACGTACACACCAACAAGGCACGGCCAGGGCGGGCAGGCATGCTTTGGCAATGAGGCCCCTCGGGGAGGCCAGGGGTATTAACAGCTGCAGAGAGAGGTGTGGGACAGGTGGAGCTCAGCACCTTTGGAGGTGGGGGTAGAGAAGAAGGAGTCTTGGAGCTCCCGAGGAAATTGGAAGAAAGAAAACGGGAAGGGGTGGCTAAGACACAGGCAGACGAGAAAATGAGAGGACCAGAAAAGAGCCAGGAGAGGCAGAACAGGTCAGAAAAGAAGACCATGAAAACAGAAGGGCAAATGGGCCAAACAGGATACGGGCAACCAAACAAAACAGGAAGGGAAGGAGAGAGGAGCCCAGAAGCGAAAGAAACGGAAAAGAGCAAGGGGAGTTGGGAAGGACAGGAGAAAGGTGGAAGACAGGGAGCCCGGAAGAGGAAGTGAGAACCTGGGCACAAGGGGGGAGTCAAGAGCCCCCGGCCGGAGCCTCACACCCGAACAAAAACCAGGCGGGCCGAGTACACGAGGTCAGCCACGTAAGCCAGCAGGTTGATGGCCGTCAGGATGGCCACGGCCAGCCGGCGGTCCCAGGTGCACACGTAGAAGGTGTGCCTGTCGCCGCAGTTCACATCCCTTGAGCGCCGCGGTTGGCCGCCGTACTTCTCGTCGAACTGGTAGAGCGGCCAGAGAACCAGGGCAGTGGCATACAGGAGGACCGACAGCAGGGCCAGCCCGGACAGGAAGCTGGGGAAGGAGATGGGCAGCACGTTGGTGCAGTCACCCAGGTTCAGCAGGATGGCCACGGCCGCCAGGATGAAGCAGATCGAGTACACGGCCACGCACCACTCCAGCGCCGGCTGGTGCTGGTACAGGTGCGGGCTGCTGATGAAGGCAAAGATGACACAGGCCACGAAGGTCTCCAGCACCTTGAGCAGGCCCGGCACGGTGGCCATGTATCCGGTGATCTCCCCGGGCCGGGCCCGGGTCCAGGCCACTTCGGTGGCATAAGCCACGCAGGCGATGCAGGAGAAGGCGGTGGCGGCGATGGCGTGGTCCCGGGAGCGGCCGTGAGACAAGAACTGGACGTAGGTGGTGGGGTAGATGATGGAGGCCGACAGGCAGAAGAGGGCGGCGTAGCAGGCGTAGGTGATGGGGAAGTTTCGCCAGGACAGGGGGAAGCGGGCCTGGAGCCCGCCCAACTCGACTATGAGGATGATGAGGGTCACGGAGAAGCAGAAGCACCACGTGAACATGGACCAGTTACCCATGGACCCCGTCCAAGCACCCACACTGGCCACCAGTGAGAAGGCCACGCAGGTGGACACCAGCTGCAGCAGGCGGAGGAGGCCCAGGGGCTGGGTCAGCGCCCTAGGGGACCCCACGATGGTTGGGGAGCCCAGGCCTGAGGAGGACGACATGGTGGTGGTGACGGTCGTGCGGGTCACGGTCACCGGCATGGCTGGGAAGAGGGCAAAGGAAGAGTCCTAAGAAGGTTCCAGATGTGGGAACCCAGGCCCTCGGCCCTTCCACCCCTGGGGACAAAGGACTCAAGCTGGCGGAGGGGGGAGATGCGGCAGGCCTAAGGGGCTGAGTTGGTCACCCAAGTGCCAGCCCCCTCCTCCGTCCTGACTGGGGTTTCCCACGTCCTGTGGCAGAACCCAGGAGTCTGGGCCGCTGTCTCTGCTTCCCTCTCTCTGCAACCCAACTACCGTGAAACCACCCCAGACTCTCAAAACTGCCCTCCTTCCCCCAGGGACTCAGCCTCCCAGCCACTCAAAAACTTCCCCGACCACACGTCAGAACAAGAGGTTCTGACCTCTTCACTGGGCTCCACCTCCTCCCTCTGGGTACCCAGGGCTCCACTCCCCCGGGTGGAGCCTTCCTTCTATCACCCTGCAGGCATTTCCAGCCTCCCCGGGTGAGAACGTTCTCTGGGACTCACAGGTGATCACAGGTGATCAGAGCCTC